CCACGAATTACGACTCATCGCGCAAGAAAGAAACTGGAACGCGAGGCTAGTAGTAACGATTCAACGATTTACTGCGAGACTTTTCGTTCTTTCTCTCTCTTAAAAAAAAGAAAAAGAAAAAAAAACAGAGAATAAAGAAAAGAATAAAAATAAAAAAAAAACCTTAAATTAAATTTCAACGGAGAACTGGCGCCGACTGAACGTAATTGACGATTTATTGTAAGTTAACACTCGAATTATTATTAATATTATTATTATTATTATTATTATTATTATTATTATTATTATTATTATTATTATTATTATTATTATTATTATTATTATCATTATTATATTATGATTTTTCTTTCTATACAGAAGGATAAAATTGTATTATATAGGGACGTTTAAACGAGCGCGTTAAATTATTAATATTAAGTATTCCGATAAGTGACGACGTCAACAACACGTCGACTATTTAAAACGCGTAACTGTTAATTATTATTATTATTATTATTATTATTATTATTATTATTATTATTATTATTATTATTACATTTATTAGAGTATTATAATTATTAATTTTATTCGAATTATTCTATATACGCATATATGATCCATTTCTGTCAGCTATGTCAGAATCAGCTAGGATCATTCCGTAATCATGTAAATGCATGGACGAGGTGTATAATATTTCGTGGGAATACGATGCATTAGAAATGCGACTTGTTTCATAAATAATCGTATAATGTCATTCGTCATACATATGAAACGGATATTATATTTTACGGCGAATCTCATTTATTGTTATAATCGTTTTGAATTGGAAACGATCATGAGATTTTCTCTCCCAACAATATAATTCGTTTAAAAAATAATTAGTTAATGGAAATGGGGTATTTAATAGGGACGTTTCTATTATATTCGCGGATAATTTGTCTCGCGTTATATCAAATTCGTAATTAAACAAAGAAAATTATTTCGTCTCGTGGGATTGTGTCGAGTCTGGCTTTGAAGATTGTTTTTTTTTTCTTTTACATTTAATTATTTAATTTATTCATTTAGATGTAAAACTAAAAAAAAAGATAGAAATAACAAAAAGGATAAAAATAATTGAGAATAGAAAATATAAGTATTTAAGAAATCGATACGTTTGGAAACATATAAATTCCATCAGTAACATTCGTGTAATCCTCGCGTGCTTTCAACAGTGGTCTAACGACGACGAACTACGAGGTTTGCCGTTCGACGGAACACGCGATTGCTTTCGGACGTCCTGTTAAATATTTAAAAGGATTCCTGACCGGAAACGAATCGCTTATACCACCGGAATTGTTCCTATTGTTCTTGCAAAATTTATAATATGATATCTACACTTTCTTTATTTTGCCTGACCGTTTTTCAATTACTTGATGTATGTTCATATTACGTATACACAAACTGATTATTGATATAATGCACGAGATTTTAGACAATAAGTCTTATAATGTTACATATTTTAATTTCCTTTCCTTTTGTGAATGATAAGTTTTATTTTTGATTTTCTGTCCTTTCATTTTATTTCCTTTATTTTTTCATTTATTTAAATTCCCTTTTGAAATCCGATATTAATCCTTATTAAACCAAACCCTGCAATCTTTCCGATGTGTATTGAAAGGCCCCACCACCAGTGATACTAGAGGCCAATGAGATTCATTTTTTCCCCTCTCCAAAAGGGCGTAGTTCATTTTCCGTATAAATATATGAAAGTAAGTAAGTAAGAAAGTCCAAGCTAGCTAGTCTGTCTTCGTCTGTTTGTTATTCTTCTGTATTCTGTTATCTGCACCAACGTCATTTCTGTAAATGCCGCTTTACATATTTAATTAACATATTAAATAAATTATTATTATATTATCTGCATCTGTGTCCGTCCGTTTCGGTTTTTTATTTCTCTTTGCACCCCACAAAATAATAACCACTTTTTACACTTACTGATTATTATTTTTAAATAGTCGCTTATTCACGTGAAAGGCATTTATTAAAAAGTATTTAATTTTCTTTTTTCTTTTTAAACAAAATTTTTGTGGAAAACAATCAATTTTATTTTGTTCAAAATTATTCATTTGTTAGCTCATTGTAGAAAGTTTTTATTTTTTCAATGAACCTCGGAGCACAATTTCGAAAATTAAAGAGAAATATTACACAAAAATAAGAAAAATTGATTTCTCTTTCTAATCTTATGATAATCTTGGTTAATTTGTCATGCTTACGTATTCTAATTATTTAACTAATACATAATTAATTCTAAATGAAAAATAACCTATTTAGAATAATACATTATTGTAAATATAATAAATGATTGGAAGAAAAAATATTTGGAACCATTAGAAATGTATTTTTTTTTTGTTCTTTGAAAGATGAATATAACATGAAACTGAAAATGGGATTTAGATGTATCAAGTTTTTCGTGATATGTGAACGGAATAAGCTTTTCAAGACGTTAACCACGTTGCCGTTTAACGAGCAAGGTCATCTTTCTTCTCTTTTTCGTTGGAGGTTTGAAAATGCCTCGAGGTCTCTGAGCGGAATTGAAAACCACCGTTTGGTCTGGAGGTACTCTGTTTACTTTGAAAACTCTCACGTATGTATTCATTCGAAACGAATGGTGCTCATGTCGGGTTTACGAACGGTTTGGTCCTGTTAACCGCAGATTCGTATTCAATGTAATGCACACGTGCCTTTACTGAATAAACCGAAAACAGATTCTTACGAGCTTTTAATCTAATTTTACATACTATACGTTTTATTTGTTCACTTTATATTTAAAATTGATATATTTTTTTCCAAAACTCATATTAATACGTTACTTAAATAACAATTTTTATGTTACGAATAAAATAACAAAAGTTGTTCATAGTTCGTAAGAAAAAAAAAGAAAAAATGTATATATGTATAATTTTGAGTTAATTTTGTATAATACAGAAATATTTATTACAGAAAGAATGTCCTATTATTTCTAGTTAGTAGAATAAAATAAATTAATTGAATTTTAACATTACTAAGAAATATTGTGACATTTGTACTGACTTTATGAAATATTTAAGTTAAAATGTACAAAGATAAGAAAAGAAATTTTGTAAACAAGTAAAGTAAAGTACAAATTTTGAATTCATCCAACATCTCATTCCACGGTGATAGTTGTTTTTCTTTCATTAAAATAGAATGCAGGGTATAACAGGATCACCGTTAGTTGGGTCGAGTTATAGTATTTCTTCTTGTCGCGATTAAGAAAGTAAAAAGAGAATACAGGAGTAAGATCTCGTACCGATTGAATCCTTTAAGCTTACTAAAAGAAATTATAACTAAGAATAATATTCGATCAAAAGAACGAAAAAAAAATAAAATTAAAAATTAAGAAGTTAAATAAAATAAAAATAAAAAATCTGAATGTTACATAATAGATCGAATGATTGATCAAATAATAAATCCAAATAAATGAGGAAGACCACAGTTGTAAAATTTATTTCTTCTCGTTAAATAATCGACCAGTTTTATTCTTCTTCGTCTTCTTAACACGTTATCCGAAAGAAAAAAAAGAATGGAAGGACCGTTGGGTACTCAAGGCATATCGATCGTAGTGGAGAAGAGCTAGCTTTGGTGCTTTAGTTTGAAAGCATTCAGGACAAAAAAGGTCTGGGTATGGAAAGGGTACACTGTCTACTACGTACGGTTCACTCTTTCTCTCTCTTTCTCTCTTTCTCTCTTTCTCTCTTTCTTTCTTTCATTCTCTTTCGTTGAGACCAGCTAATGTCACGTTAGAAACGCCTCGCGTGTGATTTACAGAGAATCCCTTTGTTTGACCCACGCCAACTCCCATTCCACCTTCCACCATCAACCTTTCTGGCTATTCTTCTTCCTTTGACTTACTCTCTTCTTTCTCTTTCAACCCTATTTAGTCTTCTAGTCTCTTTACTTTACCAAGATTACGAAGTTAAAAATTGAACAAGTTTCGGATACTCAATGATTACATTCACTCTTCCTTTTATTCTCAAATACCTTTTATAATTTTTATTATATTTTTTATCTATCTATTATAATTAAGAAATTAACAATTTCTCTAACAATTCATTTATCCATCTATGTTATTATTTAATCAATTTTTTTTTTATAATGGAACTTTTTTATTATAATGTAAAACAACATTATATTGTATATTGTAGTAATTTACAGTAAATACATATAGTAGTATTACAGTAAGTATGTATAGTAATACAGTAAATACATATTTGTAATAATTTGACAAAAAAAAAAAAAAAACAATTTATATAAGTTTACTCTACAAAATATTTCTATAAAATTATTAAATAACAACAATCCATTAAAGAAATTATCTTTAATCATAATGTTCATTTTAATGTAGTGGTTTTTGGTATTCATTTTTATTTATCAAGACTTATTCATTAAAATGTAGAGCAATACAGTTGATAGAATTGTTTTAAAGTAACAAGTTAAACAACACAAGTTTATCAAAGCAAACATTCTCATAAGATTACTTAAGTAATACGAGCCTTTTATAGAGTTTATCTTAATTCACGTCGAGTTCATATTGCGATGATATATTTCATTTATAGTGTTGGTAAATGTCAATGGAATATAGAAACCGTCTCTATAGTAGTTAACTCGGAATGTATAAGCTAAGAGATACATATAGTACGTATAGACGAGCTTCTGCGAGTTCGAAAGTTTATCGATTTTACTATCTCTATCATTCTCTCTCTCTTTCTCCCTCTCTTTCTCTTTCCATTTCTGAAGTTTCAAATAACTCGTAACTCGAATCATGCGTTTCAAGTCGATGGGGCTAACAACCTAAATAAAAGCTATTAATACGTTCCTGTCTACATTTTTTGAAAGTATCTAAAACAACGTAATGTTTATTATTCCTAATATATATATCTTTCTCTTTGTTTATCTTTATCTATATATATATATATTGTTAATTGCATATATACCGTGTTTTAACTTTTGTCTTATTTTCATTACAGTCGCTGATATTTCACTATCCAATCGAGAATCATCATGAAAACTCTCTTAATCCTGGTTGGACTCCTACTCGAAATACATCTTCATTTCACAGGTACGTATAATCATAATAAATAATAAATAAATCACAACATAAATTAAATATCAATCTTGTGGGATCTATATCTTCTATTATTACATTTTTTTTCCTTTTTTTCTTCTCCCATAAATTTTTAATTGATCTAAGTTTAGTAGAACTTCTTTAAAATACGAGGTTGAAAATCGTTTATTATTCTTCTTAACTGATCTGACACCTCTTTGACGTATATCCAATAATTAAATCGTCAAGAATGTATAATAGAAAACATTGAAGATTTTAATTTACGCGATTGTTTGTTCCAATTTTTTGTTCCTTTTCAGATCAATGATGATAATCAAGTAGTAATAAGAAGAAAAACGGTATTATCATTTTGATTAAATTTTAAAGTGCGATTATTTATACTTTTCTTCCCCCTTTTCTCCCGCTTCTCCTTTTTATTTTTTTTTTTTTATTTGTACGAAATCGTTGATCACGTATCATCCACACACGTTCTTAATTTTCTTCTCAAACGCTATAGATAACTGACAAGTAATTTCCGGGTATATCACGTTGCCCGAGAACCGACGAGAACTTTTACCTCGTTAGTGAGATAGAAATTCGTAGACAGCGAATAATACATAGTACGTAAAAGGTAGATTAGATCTGATCAGATTAGATTTAAAAAAAAAAAAGAGAAAAAAATAGGAACTCGTTGATAAATCGTCCTCCTTGCTTCTCCTTCCACCACCCCCTTATACAAAATTTTTTTCGCATATTTATTTTTATGTTTCTTTTTTCAACATTTTTGGATTATTTTCAATATTCACTTTTCCATTTTAGTTTTTTCTTTTTACATTTATATATATATATATATAATAAATATTCTTTTATTATAAAGAAAAAAGAAAAGAAATAAACGTCCATTTTTTTTTTGTAACAACGTTGAGCTTATTCCACGAAATCAGAACGACGAGCTTTTACTTTTTTATTCTTGTCCATTCGCTCTTTTCTTTTTTTTCTTTAATCATTTTTATTTTTTAAAAAGTAGAATTTTTCGAATTTAGGTCGACACAATGGCGATCGTAGCTGTAGCCTTCGTCGTCGTCGTCGTCGTCGTCGTCGTCGTCGTCGTCGTCGTCGTTGTCGTAGTTTTCGTTTTCGTTTTCGTTTTCGTCGTTGGCGAGCCCCTTCGATCTAATTAAAAATTTAATTAAACGAATGCCATTCGGTATTTTACTCGACCATTTTACGACCCTCCCCGTGACCCCCCGAATCCCCATATCGAACTAAACTTTTCAAAGTTACTCGAAATTAATCTTGAATTTCGGCTTTCGACGCTAATCGTTTTACCAATTTTCAGGATTTTACATAACTGAAGGGTCCGAATTCCATTGACTATATATTTCTTTTCTTTTTTTTTCCTTAGTAGAAAACTAAAAAACTTTTAATATTTTTTTTTTTTTTTTAAATATACTCCAACAAAAAGTACAACTATGGATGAGAAGTTAATCGATTGAGATCCAATTCGTTTTTATACCAATAAGAAGAAGAGATTTATTTATTTAACAATTCAATAAACAGAAACTGTAAGATTTCGTTTTAATTTAATGACAAAGATAGAAAAAAAGGAAAAAAATGTCAACGTAAATTAATGAACATTTAATTGGCTTAACTTGATTAAAGCAGATTTTGTCAATTTTCTTTATTTGATATTTTTCTTCTTTTTTTTTTCTTTTCTTTTCTTTACCAATAAAATGTAACATTTTACTCGTTATTTATTTTTTGTTTAGCGAATGGTACGACTATAATGTTATATCAAAATGTAGTTTGTATTTAAATAACGATACACCCTTTTATATCGTATCAAAGGGAATTTAACGAAGCATTAAACGTTACCGGAAAGTTCGAATTAATTAAGAGAGTTCAACTTTTTTAACAAACATTTCTCTCACTCGCAACTCATTCTTTTTTCTCTCTCTCTCTCTCTCTCTCTCTCTCTCTCTTTCTCTCTCTTTCTCTCTCTCCTCCTTTTCTTTATTACTTTCTCTTTCTTCCTTTTTTTTTAAGTACTAAAATATAATTCAACGTTTGATCGTCGCATACGAAATATTTGCACTCCTCAAGGTTTCAACGTTCCTAATTGGTACCGGAAAACTTTATAGAATATTTATTTTGTAAAAATTCAAGTTAAAGGATTGAGAAGTACTACATTGTTTTAAAAAACCAACACAGATGAATAATATTTTCTATAGAATAAATCCCACTTTTATTGGAGGTTGTTGCCCGAAAAGTTCGCGATACGATTTTTTAAAATTAAATTTATGTTTTATATAATATGAAAATATAAATCAATTACCAATATCAATGCTTTTCGAATGATTAAATATAAACACTGAAATAACGAGAGCGTACGATAATGATTTAATTTACTAACGAAAAAATATTAAAAAACAAAAAAAAGAAAAAAGAACAGAATGAAAAAGGTCATGAAAAACCAAGCAAGAGGATAAAAAAAGTTCTACCAGAGGACACGGTTTTAAACTTTGTTCAACGTTAACCTTTAAAAAGAGAAAATGAAAAAACAAACAATGCCTAAAGGATTAAAAAGTATACTACACTTTTTATTTTTAAGAAGGGTCTAATTAAATTCATGTTTTTATACTATGGGAAGCAACTATTTTGTGTAAACGCGAGAACGAGGAGTAAATGTTGAGTTTCGTTAAAATAAGAAAGAAAGATAGAGGAAAATGGAAAACTGGGTGAAGAAGAAGGGGTGGCGAAAGAGTTGATAGTCGGTTCGAGGGGGGTGATGTTGTAGAAGTATAAGGGGGTGGGGGAGGGGGATACAGAGGAGAGTTTCTAGTTGAATCTCCACGGAAATTCAGCTTCGGGAGTACTTGGTAGTACCCTGGCAAACGTAGCGGGCAGACCCTCGTAATTGCCGTGACTAAGTTATTCACTTAAGCCACTTAGAGTACGGCCCGGTTATGCGTTATCGTCGCGATGGTACCGGCATTAATCTCCAAGTGAGACGAGTTGGTCTCGCTTTTACCATAGCGTCGTTAAAAACTTCTTATTCTTTTTTTCTTTATTATTCTACAAATCGAGGCATCCCATGAAAATCGACCTTAATACTTAGCCACTGTGTAACGATATACACGTATTCATATCTTCTTTTGTTGAGTTTTCTCATTTATTTTTATTGTAAGATTTTCTTTTATATCAAGTGCAATATGCAATGAAATAAAATGAAATGAATAATACAATGAAATTTTTGTTGAAAATGTTTGTGGGATGTTGGATGTAATTTTGTTTGATATTTGTTTTTCGGTTTTTATAAATGTAATATTAAATATAATGTTATGAAAGATTGTTTTTATAAATATATTATATAAAATATTTTAAATAATATATATAAATTATTATACAATTCTTATTTCTATTGTTTTTAAAAATAAGATCAAATACTATTAGATGAAAATATTTTTAGAAATTATTATAGTAATAATAAAAATAATGTATATAAATTATTATGAAAATATATATTTCATATGAATTCATAATTAAGAATAAACATATGAATATAATATAAAATTATTATAATGATTTTATTCTATGAATACTCGTTTAAATTATTTTTTTTTTTTTTAATGAGAAATTGTAAAAGATATAACAGAGAGAGTTTCTTTTGATTATTTCAGAGAGTCATGCGAAGCATCAACAAGAATCGAGTTCTAAGAATGTAGTCGAACCATTAAATGGTTTCGAAGGTAAAGGAGAAGATGTTCTCGAGGGACCAATCAGTGAAGTCGTTGCTCAAAGCGGAGGCAAGGCAACCTTACCTTGCAAAATCACCGATCCTGGAGCTGGAACGGTAAGGGATTTGTTATTCCATCGTTTTTCTCTCTCATTTCGTTTCTTTCTCTTATTTCTTTCCTTTTTTATACTTGTTTTTTCTTCTCCTTGCTTCTAAGTTCCTTCGAATTAAGGGGTTTTCTAGATCGTAGAGAAAACTTTCTTGATAATTTGAACGTTCATCTTCTTTTTCGCGTCATTCTTATCATTTCCAATTTTTATTTTTTTTTCTCTTAATTTTGTCAGCTATTTCAACGATTTTTCTTTCTTAATCCATTGCAATACATGTTTACCTCGTTGATTTTGTTATACTTATTTAAAATTATTATCAACGTGCGCGTAAAGCAAAAAGAAAAATATATATAAAACGATTATCAAACAAACAAATCATAACATAACGGAAGAACTCTGAAACATCCGAATTTCGGTATTTTATTTTTTTATCTCACATAATCCTTTGTTAGAGTGACCAAAAAAAGAAATAAAACAAGATATCAACGAGTTTCCTGGCTAAGCCGGTACTGTAAAGTTTCTAATTTTTATCAACCATTGCTACATACACAGATATATGCATACATACATACACACATACATACATAACAGACACTATATTCCTATTTCTATTTCGTTCGTTAAACCTTGAAACGAGAAAAAACAAATAAAGAGTTTTTTGTATTCTTATAGTAACAGAAATAAATTGCAATGAGTTTGTTGGACTCTGCGATGGGTGAAAAGGGTGGAAGTGGGTTTCGAGTAGTATTTGGTAATATACGATATCGAAAGTTTCCTAATGTCTCGAAACAAAAAGCGTGACGTTAGCAGAGGACCGAAACAGTACACAGATATACAATAAATAGTACACTCTGATACACCACTTTTTCTATTGTCTAAAGCATGTATTGTTTGCTTCCCAACGATCTCATTCTACTTCTCTTTATTTCTGTTCCTCTTTCTCCGTGGTTTCCAATTCTCTATTATCTAGCGTCTCGTCATTTCGTAGAAACAAAATTGGCCTAGTTTTGCGTCACCACATGCACGTTACCATGCATAGTCCAACCAACCGTCACGAACCGTCTATCTAATTTCTACTCGACATAAGATATATTTGTTATTTTATCCGATCCTCTTTCTATTTAAATTTCCGACTCGTTAACAGGTTGAATAAAAGGCCCGGGCTATTGAGGGATTCCTTTTTTACACAATTTAAATACGTTTTACACATCAAATATGTTCTACTTGTTTAAATTGTTAAAATTTTTTTTTTTTAAACGATCCAATTTCTAAGGAAACATAAATATCTTACAAATTAAAAATCAATCGTTCCATAAAAATGTAATTTTAAAATCAATAATTGTTGCGACGTAAGATAATTAATTTAAACGCTAATCGTATAATCTATTAAGTTCTATACATCTTCAATTAACTATTACTTTATTCATCTTAATCCGTTCAATGTTAGAGATTAAACTATTTACGGGTAAATGTCTACGCAACATGTTTTACGACATCTTGAATCTTTAATTGGATTTAGGTTTCCCGTTATTCTCATGCTATCACGATTCCTACTACTATCCACCATCAACCCATTGAGAAGCAGTTGCATTTAGCTAGCTTCGAGCAACATTACGTAGCTAGATTTATCGCGGTAGCGCAGTGCGAAAAAGCGAACAGCGTTATTGCCGCCTCGATAACGAATGGCTCTCTCGCGAGTGGCTTCCGCTAATTTTCTTCATTCCCCATCGTACCCTCCATCCCCTTTAACTTTTAGATAAATTGCTTGCCACCACTCTTACCATCTCTCCACTTGCCCCCTCTTTCTTCTCCTACCCCTTTTCCTTCTTTACCACCGCCATCACCTTCTTCTTTCTCTTTCACCTCTTTTAACCCCTTTCTTTCTCTTCTTTTTTTTATCCTTTCTTTCTTTCATTTTATCTCATTTTGTAACAGTCCCACTGTCGAGGATATTTCACATCGACGAATTACACCCGAACGTAATTCTTTTCTTTCTTTCTTTCTTTCTTTCTTTCTTTTTTCTTTTTTTTTATTTCGTTCCTTTCATCTAAACCCTTTCCACGGGAATACTATTTTGTAGTAAGGTTTTACAGATACACGTACTCACATAAAATATCACCAACTAAAGAAATACTTTAATACATTCCCTTTTTCATGAGTCTACTACATCTGCTACGACAGCAATTTTCAAATTATATTCGACATCATTTCCTCTTTCTCCTCAACCCTTTAGCATCACCACCACCACCACACCATCAACACACTATAACTACTACCATCAGCAGTTGAATATTGCTTCGTTATTTTTCTGTTTTTCATTATTTTCTTTTTTCATACTCTGTGTCTGGATTTGACCCTTCAAGCTGAAACCACAGGGACGTTTTGAATATTTTTCCATGCTCAGGTGTTAAACTAATACTCTTTCTCTCTTTCTCTCTCTCCCTCTCTCTCTATCTTTCTCTCTCTATTTTTTTCTTTACACTATATGTGTGTGCATGTGCTGTGTCTGTCTCTCTCTCTCTCTCTCTCTCTCTCTCTCTCTCTCTCTTTCTTTCTCTCTCTATTTTTTTCTTCATACTATATGTGTGTGCATGTGCTTTGTCTGTCTCTCTTTCTCTTTCTTTCTCTCTCTCTCTTTCTCTCTGTCTGTGTCTTTTTACATTGACTTGTTTCTTTTTTATTCACGAAAAAGGCGGAAAGAGATGAAAATCTAGGTTACGTACATACGCTTTCTCTTTTTTTTCCTTTTTTTTTTCTTTTTTTCTTTTCTTTTTCTTTTCCTTCATCTTTTTTTCTTTCTTTCTCTCTCTCTCTCTCTCTCTCTCTCTCTCTCTTTCTCTCTCTGTTTCTATTTCTCATTTTTCCACCCCCTTTCTTTTTAACTCGACGAGACATAATTGTAGAAGTTGGAGTACTAGTAACACTTTTACTCCGATACATCGTTTTAACAAATTTCAAGTAGTATGAAATCAAATTCAGTTTTCTATATAATCTAAATTAATTAAAATTGATTAAATCTTACAAGTATTACTTGACAATTATTGCTTGAAATTTTTCTTTTGAGAATGAACCAAAATGAATTCTCTTAAGAATGAATCATTTGAAAGGTTGATTTAATATATTTTTTTTTGTTTTCAAAGATTTATATTTAAAAAGGAATACACTTATAGGAAGGAATGAAAGGCAAAATAAAATCGTAGTAGGAAAAAAACGATGGTCCGATATTTCGTCATTCGTATTTATGAAACGGATATATTCGTTGATATATTTGTTGTAACATTACGAGTATACAACTCAGCAATTGATTTTTTTTCTTCCTCCTTTTTTTCGTATCTTAGTAATCGTTAGGAATATCGAAAGTTTTAAGCTCTTTAAAAATATATCTGAGCTTTGCCTCTTTATCAATTTTTTTTGTTTTGTTATTTGTACGATCCGAAAAGGATCGTACGGTGATTAGCGGTATTCGAAATTCGCGCGCATCCACTTCCATCGATTGGGATTCTAGATCGATACTCATTGCGAGCATCGATCAACTATTAGTAACTATCGAAGCGTTGCTCTAACTACCCCCACCTCTCGCATCCCCACTTCTCATCGCCCTAGTACGTACGTCCTGCTGGGA